GAAAGGACCTTATGTTGATTATCAAAAGTAGTGAATGCAATGGAAATTGATTTTTCAATACCATATGAAAAATCAAATTAAAGGCCCATTTTAGATTTCTAAAGTGTACCTTCCATTTATTGATATTGTGTCCTTAGTTTGAGTCTGTAGTGATTGACTAAGGAATTCTCCTTTCAAGATTAGAACATTTTATGATTAAAATATTAGCTCTTGTAAATTAGAAAAATAGTAATATTTTGGGTAAATATAATAAACCATTCTAGCATGATCATTGAAATTATTTTATTTAATCTTCTATTTATAATCAAATTAGATTCATTCAAATTGCATTTAACTTATATAAACTTATATAAATTGAATTCAATTAAATGGTAGCTTATATAATTTGTATCAATCAAAGAGGTATCTCTACGCTCCTTTTGATTAATGATTCAACCTACAAAATAAATCAATTTGATTTCTTTCAAGATTGTTGATATTTTTCATCAAAATTTAGCGTTATGATGAAAATCGAAAGGCATTCTTAATAAGCCTTTATTTGACCTTTAAGAACCTATCATTTTATAAAGTATTGATCAAAAATATCGCATATGACTTAATTAATATAAATTTTAAAAAGAGGTTTTTGATAATTACTTCCTCTGAACCAAAACACAAATAGATGGTTAGATGATCAAAAGTAAATTAGTAAAACGTGATTGATATTGAATAATTAAAATATTGTTAAAAATCATCAATTTTGTTTACATTCTATATAGTCTTCTAAAATCAAACTGCCTTTGGATTTGAATAATTATCTTAAATTTACACCTTAACAATTTACGAATTCTCCTTTTAAGATTATAGCTCCTGAAGCTTATAAAATGAGATGTTAGGAAATTTCTAGAAGTGTATTATGAGAAAGGGCTAAAGATTAATGAAAAATAAATTCTACTTTTTTTAAGAACGTTGTTTGTAAATATCGGGGCTTAAAATTATGCCAGGTTATCTTTCTAACTTCCACAACTTACATCCCATAAACGGATAGAGTTATCATCACCTCCAGATGCTAATGTCATTCCATCAGGAGAGAAGCAGACTGTTTGAACTCTATCGCTATGACCACTTAATTTTGCCTTTTATTATCCTGTCTTAACATCCCATAAACGGATAGACTAATCATCACTTCCAGATGCTAATGTAGTACCATCAGGATTGAAACAGACCGAATAAACATAACTAGAATGACCATCTAATTTGTTTATTTGTTATTCTGTCTTAACATCCCATAGACGTATAGACATATCCCAGCTACAAGATGCTAATCTAGCACCATCTGGAGAGAAACAGACTGATACAACTGTTTATGAATGGCCGTTTAATTGTGTTTTTTATTATCCTGTCTTAACATCCCATAAACGGATGGAATTATCTCTACTCGCTGATGCCAATGTAGCGCCATCAGGAGAGAAACAGATTGAAAAAATAACACAAGAATGGCCTTCTAATTTGGCGATTTATTCTTCTGTCTTAACATCCCATAAACAGATGGACATATCTTTACTAGCAGATGCTAATATAGTGCCATCAGGAGAATAACAAACTGAAAAAACTAAACTAGAATGGCCATATTATTTGCCGAGAAATTATTCTTTCTTCACATCCCATAAACAGATAGAGTTATCATTACTCCCAGATGCTAATGTACTACCATCAGGAGAGAAGCATAATGATGGAAATTAATTTGAATTAAAGTGTAATTTGGCTTTCTAAATTCCTGTCTTAACATACCATAGACGCATAGACTTATCTCTACTTGAAGATGCTAATAAAATACCATCAGGAGAGAAACAAACTGATAGAACTGAATTTTTATGACCACTTAATCTGCCATTTTAATATCCCGTCTTAAAATCCCATAAACGAATAGACTAATCATCACTGCCAGATGCTAGTGTAGTACTATCACTAGAGAAACAGACTGAACGAACAATATGAGAATGACCACATAATTTACCTAAATATTATCCTTTCTTAGCATCCCATAAGCGGATAGACATATCTTTACTACCAGATGCTAATGTAGTACCATCACAAGAGAAACAAACTGATACAACTGTTTTTGAATGACCGTTTAATTGGACTTTCTATTATCCTGTCTTAACATCCCATAAACGGATGGACTAATCTCTACTACCAGATGCTAATGTTTTACCATTACGAGAGAAACAGACTGACTTAACTTAATCGGTATGACCATCTAATTTGCCTTTCAATTATCCTGTGTTAACATTCCATAAACGGATGGAGTTATCATAACTGCCAGATGCTAATGTTGTACCATCACGAGAGAAGCAAACTGAATTAACTCTTGAATAATGACCAGTTAATTTGGCCTTCTATTATCCTGTTTTAACATCCCATAGACGGATATTACAACTGCTACCAGATGCTAATGTGGCACCATCAGGAGAGAAACAGACTGAATTAACAATCTTGGTATGGCCAATTAATTTTGATATTTATTTTCCAGTTATAAGATTCTGTTAATACACAACTTCACCACTGCAAGAAGCTAAGGTGGTACCATTTGGTGAATATGCGACTGATTTTATCCTTGTCTTTCCTTTTAATACAGTCTTTATTTTTCCTGTTTTTATATCCCATAAACATATAGATTTATCATTGCTGCAAGATGCTAATGACTTATTATCTGGTGAAAAGCAAACTGAATTAACATTTTTAAAATGACCATTTAGCTTCTTTAGCTCATTTATTCTTAAATCCCTCCATTTACAATTTTATAATTTGGTTCCATTCAATTTTATTCCACTTATAATAACATTGTCAAATTAAGATCCACTTAAGTCACACCTGACAAAATTTGCTCCTAATAGCGAAGTATTTCTAATTCTAATATTTTCAAAAGATTATTCCATCAAATCAACCTCCATTTTAACTAATAAATGAAGGGAATTGGATCCACACCCTATATATCTCTCATCTAGGGCAGTAAGATGAACAAAAAATATTAGAAGTTCGATGATCCTTTTTTCCTATGATATTTTTCTGATCAGATCATATTTAATGTATTTATATTATTCTATAGAGTAATTGACTGTATTAAAATCATGATCTTTCATATGGTTGAGAATATTCTTTATTTTTTCGATATTATTCTTACCAACAGTTTGCATCTCTCCCTATCCAATAACGATAAATTTTTTACCTATAATATTGCTGACTTGAATTTCTTTTGATTATTATCTTATTAGAGAAATTCTAGGCTATCTTAAGTTTTCTCTATTTTTAATATTTTAGTTAGGATTGGGAAGACCAGTTCATCAACACCCTTTGATAAAGCCAAAACCTCATACAAATCTTCATCCTGCTTATTCCGACAATTCATTTTTTTTTAAATATTATTGAATTTATATTTGTTTGGAAAAAATAGAAACCTTTGAGATGATGTAAATTATAATGGTGACAAGTCAAATAAAATTTAAAATAACCTAATTCTTTTGAAACTAAGAATTAAAGAGCAAAGCACATTATTAATATCATTTTTCAAACGCTTGATAGTACTTCACAAAACAACCATACCATAATTCATTGTTAAACTAAAGGAATACAACTAAGGTAGCTATTTTAATACCATCCTTCTATTATATTTAATATCACTAAATTTTTGATTAATTAAGACAAGTTAAATCAAAAAAGTCATTCAAAATGTGATAAAAATGTAAAACTAGTAAAATTATATTGTTCATTTATCTAAATCACTTTTGTTGTTATTAATCTTTCGTTAAATCTTGCGAAATCAATCCTTTTGTAGATATGAACATTTATCTGAAATCTACGCTTTTAATTCATCATGAAAAGTCTTAATACCTTTAAATTAAACAACTATTTATTTGGAATATGATCATTTCACAGTTTTCCCAACTTTCTTGCTGAAAAAGGAGCATCTAAATAGAAAATACTTCTTTATATTTATCATAACACCCTATTGCACTGTAGATATAAAGTTCTAAATATAATTTTCTTAATGCTCATCTAACGTTTTAATTTAAAAATGTTGTTTGTTAAATATCATCAAATTTATCCACGATCTTAAGGTGACAAAATTATTCCAGAATATTATTTTCATTCTTTCAATGCCATTGTAATCATTTACATTTTCGAACCATCTGGCTAATAATAAATGTTGTTTTAAGGTTTATGAATGTTTAACCAAATCTATATTTTATTTCCATTTGATCTTAAATCTCTCTCTAATCATTACTTGACATCAAGAAAGATCATATATAACTATTTAAATATAAAACTCTTCTTTCAAATATCAATATTTAGTTAAAGAAAAAATGCTAGTTTATTAATCTTAATTTATGATGTAAATAATTTAAACAAAATAATTAAAAATCAAATGAAATCATCTAAAGAAATGTAAATATCAAATTTAGGAGATCAGGCAAAACTATTTTTGATAATTTTTTGGTCAGTTATATAATATCCTATAATGTTTGAAAATAATTAAAATCAACTAACGAAATCTTTTATTGAATATCCTTATTTCAAAAACACCATTTAAAAAATCCAATACAAAGACTTCACATATCATTAAATTGACATCATCAATTTCGTTAATTTGAATTTATTGTAATAAAATATTAAAAGTATTGTTTAATCCAATCCCATAATTTTGAAAAATGTTTCATTTCTTATTTTACCATCAGCGAACATAGTTTTTTATAAGAATAATATTTATTTTGACTTTTATTTCTTCATCCAATACGTCATAATACTGATCAATTTGCTGAACACTTAAAACCTTCAATAATATGCCACTTGTTGCCAATGCCATCAATTGAGATGTAAGGTTTATTTTTGTTTATATTAGAAATTTTATTGTTATTCGATCTATTTACAGTCAAAATTTTGACTAAATCTTAAAATAAATCTCATACACAAATTAATATAATCCAATTTTACTTGCGAAAATATTTGAACAAAAAATGATTTAATTTGAGCATCTTTTCTTTTATGAATTCATTCCAATAGAATTTCCCAACCAAAAATTTATAATGATTTTTACAATAAATTGTGAAATGACAAAAAAATGCTAGTATTTTTGGAGCTAATATGAGGTAGATGAATTCCATTAAATAATTATTGTTGGATTAGCTAATATTTCGTAATGTTTTTTGCAGTATAAATTAACCTTGACTCCAAAGCTGATAACTTTAAAACTAAATGAAATTGTTATTAAAGAGAATGAGTTTGAATGCTGATAATTGCACTCTAAATTAAACTTCTCAATTTATCAAATTTATTTGAAATTTTCAAAAGTCAATAATCTATTTTCATTGCCATTTGATATTTATAGAAAGTTCTAAAAGACTCGCAGTTAATTCAATTTAGAATGTCTATTTCTTTTTCTTAAATCTTACAAGCTTATATTTTATTCCTTCCGGAATGGGTGCTGCTAAATCTGAGCAATATCAGATATTTATTTTTTACTGGTAAATCTGGTTTGATTTTATAATACACAAAACACCTTAATGAGTATTTAGTTGTAGTACTTAAATTATGTAAGTTTTCTCTGATAGAGATTTGTGATGTTTAATTCTATTTCATAGAAAAACCTTCAGAAGATTGGTATGGTGTATATTAAATGAGTATTTTTTGCTACTAAAAACAATTGATCAAGTATGACCTTTATAAAGAACCGTAGATCGAGGATTTGAATTTTATAGAGAACTTAAGTAGGATTTCTAAATTTCCTTAGTAAATAAGTCAAATAAGAAAAATTTTCTAATTATTGATGATAATTAAATATTTGCCAATTTGCATCTAATCGCAGCCATGTTTAGTTTGAATAAATCTTTATTAATAAATTATATCGTGATATTCAAGTTCAGAAAGAGAAGTAACCAATAATGGATGTTCATAGATAGTATTTGTATTGAGTTAATATTTTATGAGTTTAAATTGGTAGAAAATTAGTATTTATGAATCAAAAAAGATTACTAAATTTGAATGATCAAATATTACTTAACTCATTGTATTATAAAGAATTCAAAGGCAATATAAATTGGTATTTTGAAGAAAGCATTTTATGATTAGCTCTCTTTAGTAATGAATCTAGGGATAGATTAATTCAAGTTTAACTGTACTTCCTAATTATTTTTTCAAGAAGGTTTTGAAAAAAGTACTAACAATCATCAACAATGGTAAGGTTTAACTCTCAAATATCAAACCCCTTTACAAATTTGAGCTGAATGTGCATTTGATAAATTATTAATTACATATCTCAAAATAAACCACCTCATTTGTCTCAATAAATTTAATCTCACTATAATTTTTTGCACAAGATTCCTTAATGGTATTAAAGCTCTTGTAGATGAATATATAGTCTTTATATAAAACAGCAGGAACTGACTTGATTACATGTGAGCCCTTGGCAATCTTTATAATCAAACTTATTTGTAGGTAACATAAAACACTGATCAAAATTTAACAAGCAATTTTTTTTTGTGTATAAGGATTATTTAACATTAAGTCTTATAATAATAAAAATTATAATGTGAAATTAGCATCATTCTTGATTCATCAGGTTGTTTAAATTTGGCGTTTTCAATTTAAATGGCTCAGATTCCAATTGGAATAAATTTTAATATCTTGAGGCAATTTTCTAGATCTACTCCGTCACGGCTTTCTACATTTATGAATAGAATTTCGATCGAATAAATGATATCTGAACAGATAAGTCTAAATTTGCTTTCTAATGTATCCCTCTTCCCTAAAGTCAAATTCTAGCCTTCCTATAATCTATCTATGATGGATTTAGGAAGTTATGGTTAAATCCCACTATTCTTCTAAAGGATTTCTGTTAATAATTTTCCATTAGATGATAATTATTTTTTCTATTTCCAGATGGTTAAATTATGGTATCTAATATGAGATAACAAGCATAAAATCTTGCTCTTAATATCATGGCATTGAACATTATCATCTTCCATCACTGACTAGACTTTCCGTCCATTAATGTTCTCTTGCACTACTTTTGTGCCGATTAACATCAGTAGATTTATTGATTGGATCATTTTTCCTTTAGTTAATCATTATAGTCTTGCTTCATGCCAGCGAGATCTACATTTAAAATTAATAATAATTTCTCATTTTACTTTTTTGTAGATATTTTACACTTTTTAGAATGGATTTCATACTAATCAAATCTAATGTGTAATATTATCAAAAGTTTTTTCTTGTATTATTCGAATCTTCAACTTCAAAAAAGATCAAGATTTAATATCACTTTCATATTTTTTCAAATTTAAATTTGTAAAGACCAAGTTAAAATCAAACATGTATTAATGGTTTATTAAATTTAGTTATTAAAATTCAAATTTTGGAAAAACACATCTGATGTGTGAAGTCATAATTTCCATAGAGTCTAATCTCTTAGACTAAGTTATTCTATCTAAGCATTCTAGCTCCTTAGACATAAGCCTAAATGCTTGGGTTCATTTCAGATCTTTTTGATGAAGAATTAATATCCTAATCATTGAGGAAATTAAAACTATGTTCTTCGCATGCTATTGGCCTAAAAATTATAAATATTCTAGACAAGAATTTTACATTCTCGCGAATATCAATATTTCTGTGAAGAATTGAAACTGCCTCTCAAACTTCAAATTATATCCTCAAGTGTTATATTTCGTTTGGTCAATGTTACAATAAGGATTTTAATTCAAAAACTTGCACACTCAAAATAAATCTTTCAAACTTTTCTATACGCTAAAACAAAAAAGGATCATAGGGTTTCAGATAGAAACTTCTCCGTTTCAGGCTGAAAAAAGATTTGCCTTACCCTATCAGTGCAAGTAGCTCTATCTGAAGACAATCATAGCATTTAAGATGTTTGGTATAGTATCTTTTCATCCTTTTGTCAAAACCTAAATTATTTTTCCAAAATAGCTTATAAAATCTTTTTTGGATCATCATAAGTCTATATTTGTTTCTTAATCAATTGACATTTTCTTATCAACTCCTCCTTTATTCTTCAAAAAATAAGTTAGACTTTTATTTGGCAGCTATGAACAAATCGAGAGTTTGGTTCTCTACCTAGAGGGCGAAACACAACTTAACATATTATTGTAATAACAGCTATGATAAAGATTTAGAAGAAGATGGTTCATTTTAGGTAACTTCCGCTTTTAATGTTCGCATCTGGTATATATATGTAATTTTATTATTAGTACAGATGAGATCACTTATAAACACAACTTACTAAAACTCTTCCGAGTGATATTAGAAAACCTAGTTCTTATGGAACAATAAAATCATTGTTTATGGTTTACTTGGTTACATAATATCAGAATCTTTATAATAATTAGAAAATTTTTG